AAGCGACAGGTAAATTGATCTTGAGTTTCGTTTGAAAAACAAATTTATCTCGAGTGAAATTTTTTTCGAAAAATGTTATTGGTGATCGCAAGTTCAAAACTGGTCCTCTATTTTATTTTTCTTTTCTTTTTTTGGGTTCAAAGTGGTCTATGTACCTTTAAAATAATTGCCACAATTCATCCTTGCACCGTTTCGACAACAGGTTTTGTTAATGTGAACTTGACGCCATTAAAAATTGCTGATATGGATTTTCTTTTTCAAAGATAATCTAGACGTAAACTTCTTTGCATTTTTCCAAATCTCTCTCTCATCTTGCCCACAAAAATAATATAAAATACTTCCGTGAGAATGTGATTTCTTTTGATAGAGAATGGGCTAAGCTGAACTTCATAATGGTGGACTTTGTGGCCATTTTGGGCAAGATAGGACCAAGGCTCTAATTTGTTAAAGATAGCATTAGCCTTCATTACAAAGGGATGTGCCCGTATTGCTGATGATATATACCATTACTCCAACATTTATTTTAAGAGTCGCGCTTTTTCCACTCCTAGTTTGATTAAAACACTCCCAAACAAAGTGTTATGACTATTTCACCCATTGAGGGTCCTACCTTTCACTTCCATAAGTGTCTTTTTTTGGTTTTCTTTTTTTGTAGGTCCCACTTTCCTTCCTTTTCGTCCCATCTTTCATCATCTCTCTCGTAGAGAAAATGCCACCATAATCACCTCCGTAAAAGTACAAAACTCAGTCGAATGATACTTCTCGGTCTAATTGGTGGCTGTGCAACATATTGAAGCCTCCTTTCAGGGCCTATCCGAAAGAGAATACAGTACTTCTGGGTCATGAAATCTAAATAGTACAAACCATTCCGTGGATATCTTTGCTTCGGAACAAAACAATTAGAATTAGGCTCGGTCATCTGGAATGGGGAAAATTTCATTTTGGTACCCAAAGTGAGGCCTTTTTCTCAATTTGGTGCCCAAAGTGGACATAGTCCCAAATTGGTACCCAAAGTGCCCATTCAGTCTCAATTTGGTACCCAAAGTGCCCATTCAGTCTCAATTTGGTACCCAAAGTGAACATAGTCCCAAATTGATACCCAAAGTGCCCATTTAGTCTCAATTTGGTACCTGAGTTCGCCGGCCGGTCAAATGCTCGCCGGCCGGCAAGAAATTCTTTGTTAGGCTACGAATGCATTTTTTACTTTTTTTTTTTTTTTTTTTTTCCTTTTTCTGTTTTTTTCTTTTCCTTTTCCTTTTCTTTTTGTTTCCTTCTTCCCTCCGCCGGCCACGACCATGGCCGGCGGAGGTCGCCGGCGTCGGCCGAGGCGGCCTCGCCCGGGCGCGCGAGGGTCGCCCTCGCCGGCGTCTGGCGAGGCCATCCTCGCTTGGGTCGGCCGCCCGACGCAGCTAGGCCACCTCGCCCGACGCCGGCGAGGGTGACCTCGCCCTCGACAGACTCGGCGAGGGTCACCCTCTCCGGTGTCGGGCGAGGCGGCCTCGCCGCTGCGTCGGCGAGGGCCACCTCGCCCGGGCGGGCAAGGGCCGACCCTACCCGGATCCGGCGAGGGCGAGGGTTGCCCTCGCCGGATCCTCGGCGAGGGTCACCTCGCCGGCGCCGGTGAGGGCGGCCTCGCCCTGGCCGGCGAGGGTCGCCCTTGCTGCGCGTCGGGCGAGGGCCGACCCAAGCGAGGGTGGCCCTCGCCCGACGCCGGCGAGGGCGACCTCGCCCCCCGTGCGAGGGCCGCCGCCCGACGCCGGCGAGGGTCGACGCTGACGACCTCCGCCGGCCATGGCTGTGGCCGGCGGAGGGAAGAAGGAAACAAAAAAGAAAAGGAAAAGGAAAAGAAAAAAAACAGAAAAAGGGAAAAAAAATAAAAAAAAGTAAAAAAAAATACTGTTCCGGTAGCCGGAACAGTAAATTTCTTGCCGGCCGGCGAGCATTTGACCGGCCGGCGAACTCAGGTACCAAATTGAGACTGAATGGGCACTTTGGGTATCAATTTGGGACTATGTCCATTTTGAGTACCAAATTGAAACTGAATGGGCACTTTGGGTACCAAATTGAGAATGAATGGGCACTTTGGGTACCAATTTGGGACTATGTCCACTTTGGGTACCAAATTAAGAAAAAGGCCCCACTTTGGGTACCAAAATGAAATTTTCCCTCTGGAATGTGTATTATCCATATCTCTCTATTCAAAACCAACCCAATATAATAAAGAGGATGGATCTAATCACACTTTGCATAGCCACCAATAGACTTTACCAGGTAATATGCAAAAATGTATTTGGCGTGCCTATTGGTTTTCCACTTTACCAAGAACTAGAAATAAAATGGTAAAAAATTTCAATCATCCTACTGAAATGAGAAGAAAACTGAAATTTATTGGTTAAAAATTCTTCATCCTTTACAAAGTCTGAACTAGAACTAAACCTATGGGAATATATCAAAATGTGCATCTTGAAATCATTCTGCCAAACAAATTGCAGAAATGAAAGAGATCAATGGAAACCAATCTGAGAAAATTTTCAATGAAAAGAATACTCATAACCCACTCAAAAAATCAAATGCATGCTCTATCCCAACAGGGTCAAAGAAATCAGTAAATTCAATCATTAGAAGTTAATGGGATGATAAACCTTTTTTTCACTTGGTGAAAGCAAAACTCTTCAAGATTGGACAAGACCCGCTTTTCTTCTTTCCACTCGTCCCCACAAAATTTCGAAAACTTCAACAAACAGAATGCCCAGAAGGAGAGACACTCATCAATGCCAAAAGGCCTCACTAAAGATCCTCAAAAGCATAAAATTGAATTAAATTCAACAGTAAACAAAGGATGAATCAATACCCACTTTTCTCAAACAAAAAAATGGAGATGAAAGAAGAAAAAGAAAAAAAAACAACTTCAAACTTCATTGACCTAAATCCATCACAAGAAAAATGACCACATTTCCTAACATTAACCAACACTCTGAATTTAATCAATTTATCCGGTACCCACCATGAAAAATGATGCAAAAACCATATCAAACATTGAAGAAAAGAAAGAAAAAGGAGAGAGAAAAAGAGAAGCATAAAGTTGAAAGAAAGCGGGACCCACAAAAGAAGAAACCAAAAAAAAAGGACACTAAGAATGCACATGATGCTTAAAGGTGGGACCCATAATAAATAAAATGGTAACAATATTTTGTTAGGAGTGTTTTAACCAAACTAGATATGGAAAAAGTCTGACCCGTGCATATCCTATTTTTTCATAGCAGGGTTATGAAAATCCACGAGAAGCAACTGGGCATGTTGTACATGCCAATTGCTATTTACTAATAAGCCCGTTGATATTGAGGTTCCACATTGCACTTTGTAGCCAAGTGCCCTAAGTGACCACTGACCATGCCCCTTGAGTGAGCCATCGCTATGGTAACCTAAAATTTCCAATGGCATCAAGCCCTTCCCTTGTTTTTGTTCGTGGCAGTAGATTTGAGACCACTGACGGAAGTCACCCTTCGACGATAGCCATCTTGAGCCCTGATTTAGAGATCGCTATCTCACTCTATCACGGTGGTCTCAGGCAATCGCCACGATAGACACAATGACCACCATCATAACGATCGCTATGGATAAACAATCACGTAGCTGCTGAGTGGGTCGGACCACTACCACCTACTCCCCCTCCTAACTTTTTTCTCTTTTACAATTTCACTTGAATTTTTATTTGTATTTTTTTATTAACCACATTACTAACAAATATATCAATAATAACATGACAGGTGCTCTCAAGTTGTCACGTTGGATTCTCGGTTATCAAATCAAAAATCCGACGGCAAATTTTACCGAACGAATAACGGTGGTGTTTTTTAAAAAGTATAGAGACTATTTTGCATAAAAAAATAAAGAAAGAGTTTTGAATCTCAAGTATAAATAAAAGGTTTATAGGTGACATTATCTTTATTCTCTCTTAGGTAATGTATGTAACTAAAAATAAAGAGAAGTTTTTACGTGAATTTAACATAATCATAATCGTTGATCATGTGAGCCTTATGTAATTAACGATCATAAGAAATATCCAATTAATGTGGACTCAAGTTCATATAACAATGGGATAACTGTACTGGAAATCATTAATTTTTGTCACGAAAGTACAATTGAATTCTAAAACTTTCAAATAGTGCAATTAAGTCCTAAAACAAGTCATGAAAGTGCAATCAAGTCCTCAAACTTTTAAAAAATACAATCAAGTCTAAAAATTTATCACGAAAGTGCAATCGAATCCTGAAACTGAGTTCTAAAACTTTCAAAAAGTGTCATTAAGTCCTAAAAGTTATCGCGAAAGTGCAATTGAGTCCCAAAACTTTCAAAAAGTGCAATCAATGGAAAAACCTAATTGGACCAATTGGACAAGTTTAGAACTTGATTGCACTTTTTGAAATTTTAAGACTCAATTGTATTTTTGTAATAAGTTTTAGAACTTCCAATTCATACAATATGCCCAAGGGATAATGACACAAATAGTTCCTGAACTTTGACCTAATATGTAATGTGATCTCTCAACTTATAATTTGTTCAACGTAATCCCTGAACTTTAGCCTAATGTTCAATATGGTCCTCGAACTTTTAATTTGTTCAATGTGGTCCTTTGACTTTTGGTACATATTCAATGTAGTCCTTGAACTTGAATTAATAGAATGACTATATTGAACATTTTTTTATATATTTTAGGGATTAAATTAAGTATGTACCAAAAATTTATGGATCATATTGAACAAATTTAAAGTTCATGGACCATTATTGCATATTAAATTAAAATTAAAAAACTATATTAAATAAATTAAAAATTTAAGAACTATATTATATATGAAATTAAAGCTAAATAACCATTTATATCATTTTTTCTCTGCCCAAAATCAAAGATAAGGTGACATAAGGTTGACAAATAGTACGTACGAAAAAGAAACAGAAGTTTGACCAATAGTAGTCCGTACCAAAAAGAAACAGAAGCGTTCTCAAAACTGTCTTTCTCTGCACTGCACGAGCGTCTGGGTCGCGTAGTTCACTCTCCCAAGTCCCCTGCTCTTCAAATCCAAACAAGCCCTTCATCTTCCGCGTTCCTCCGCTCAAACTCGCCACTACAATGTCCATCAGCAGAGCCGCCGACTCTAAACCCCCTCCGGTGATCGGCAAGATGGGCCCTTACACTGTCTTCGTCACCCCAACGCCGACCCCGAAGCCTGCCGGGCCGGTTCTTGATCCGCCGGCGAAGGTCGTCCCTCCTCCGGTTCTCCCGCCTCCCCACCGTTTCGGCAACTCCGCCGGTTCTCCGTCTTTGGTTGACCGTGGGTCTGTGCTGGCATTCTTCAAGAACGCGTCCACTAAGTTGCAAAACGGTGGAAGTTTCTGCTTTAGCTTTTCTGTGTATTGGTTTTATCTAAATGGTGGCTTTGTTGGTTTTCTTTTTTGGATTTTGTTCGGTCTTTTCTCCTTTCTTCCGGGATGAGGAAGAAGATCGGAAGTTTGAAGCTTTGATGTGAAGAAACCATGTTTTCTTAAGAAAGTTCTGTCTTGTTATGGTAGATTGGTCCGAAAGAGAATGTGGGCGTCTCGGTTTTCCTCGTTTAATCGGACAAAAAGAAAACAAAATTGTAACTTGATCTCCAGATTCTGCATTTCGCATGTGAACGTGTACAGTTTCAAAGTTCAGCTGCTCAATGTCCATGTTGTGTAATTTTAGCTGTGTTTCCTCTCTACTTCTTTTTTCCTTTTTTACTGAAAAACTTACAGGAATTCTGTTCTTGCTTAATTTTGCAGCTCAATCAAGCTTGGATGGCCACATGGCACGTTGGCTTGGGTTGGACCAGTCGAGGTATCAGTGGGCGTTGGAAAATTATTACGATAACCAAAGATCAGTAAGTTTTACCAATGTCTTATTTTTCTCTGTTCATATTGCCCTTTGAATTTGATATTACGTGTTCTTTCAGCTTTGCTTTCACTCTTTCCTTTTCTTTATGTCATGATTCTTCGAAAAGTAGCCTGCTTTGTGTCGTCTGCTGCTTGTATACGATGCTCAATTAGTCATGAAGTGAGATGAGGTTGTTGGGGGATGTAATTTTGTGTAGACAGCTTGTCAGGGGTAGAAGTTTGGTGGCCTCTAGTGGAGTGCTCTTTTAGTTGCGAGATCATTTTCATGTACTCTGTAGTAGTTTTGCTTCGCTTTCAATTTTCATTATGTCAATTTGCTTTGCACATTGGTACAACAGCAATTGCTGCAGTGAGCGCATCGATCGTTTATTAAGTGACTAAACATATGATGTATACCATTGCCATGGTAGTGTTTGGTTGTCGATCAAATCCAGTATTGGAGAATTTGAGTTCGACTTCATTCTTGAAGCACTCTATCTCGGCTTTAATCCACCGGAACTTGAACAGAACAAAAATGTCTCAGCCTATTCAAATTCAAAAGCTGTTTTCATCGAGGCCCTGGCCTTGTCATGGCTTAGATTTCTCAGCTCAAGTCAAGATAGATTTGGCCCGGCACCAACGTTTTCTGGCAAAATGCTAACTCTGTTCTAAAGTAACATTTTATGTCTGTATGGGTTCTACTGGTGGATGAGGAGGATCCACAGATAGGCGGTAAACAGCATCTCAAATAACTGCAAACCAGGACTAAATTCCATGAATGATTCCTAATCTTTAGCGATTTCTCAATCAGGTCATTGGACTTTCAATTTAATCATCCAGTGCAATAAATTATTATTTTTTTGCAATCAATGCACTTTGATCAGAATTTGGCGAATATTCCCTGAAATGCTAATGGCATGGCCACCTGGTACTTCAGCAGTTCACCGGGATATTGACCGGATTCTGGTCGAAGTACATCGACCACCCACAAAAATTTGTAAGTTTGGCGTGATTGAAATCAAATTTTGTTGACCTGATTGCAAAATCTAAATCTCAATAGCCATGAATGGAATTTATTTCATCTAGTTGACAAGCCACAGTCTCTTGGTGAAGTGGTCTAGGCTTGATTTTCCTGCTAGATGAATGGTCAGAAAATAGCCTTGTCTTGTTTGGGTGGAATTCTTTCATCTGCTCTGCTAAAAGTTCCTTAATGTGGCAATTTATCTTGCAATTCACTCGGCACGGCTTGCTATGGGTTACACAAAAAGCCTAGCCTAGTGTTCGTGCAGGTTGTCTTTGCCAGTGTTATTATATGCGAGTGAGCTCTCATTTTCAATTGAAGCAGCTTCTTTGCATGGCAGTTTAGGCCAAAAAACGTGCTAATTCCTTAAATCCTTCCTGCCTTTGCTAGTGAATTACTGAATACGACTTGTAATATGAAATCCAAAGCAACTAAAGGAACTTAATATAAAAGTTACTTTGAGGTAGAAAAAAAGAAGATAATTCTGCTTGCCATGGCATGTCCTGCTGAATATGGACAGCTTTCTTTCTTCCTTAACCCGGTGATGGGGGTGAGTTATATTAAGAATCACTACAATTTGAGGTTAAGTTTCATCTAGGTTGCTTATCAAAAAGAAATTCTCTGTTTTTCTTTTATATATATTAAGAGTCACTACAATTTGTGGATCCCTTTTGATTGTTGCCCTTTGGTGTTTTGTAATGAAATCTTTTATTGTACCAGTGACATATCAGCTGCGCATATTGTTTTTATTTTATGATTACTCATGAGGGGTGCTAGTGGGGGCCAACAAAGTGCAAAAAAAACCAAAACTTCAGAAAAGAGAGCGAATCATGGCCCTCCATTGGAGAAAGCAGTGGCTCAGTTTCCTGAGCAAGCAGAGGGTTGTATGGCCCCGTCCATGACCAGGGTGAGGATTGTTCAACCATTGCCTTAGACTGGCAAGGATCTGGCTACAGTTCCCTGACTATTGGCTGGGTGACGATCACTTGACCTCTGGTTTATCAACACAAGGCGTGACCCTCTGCCAGAGCAGGGCAAACCTCCATTGTTGCTTTTTCAAAAAGGTTGGGCCATTGCGGTCCGCAGCAACTCATCAGTGAAAACCACAAAAAAACCACAAAAACCACAACTCCCTTGTGATGATTCTTGCATTTGCTACGTATACTCATAGACTTATGATATGCATCTAGTATTCCATTTTCACAGACTTATGATGTTCCCTCATTGCAGGAAAAGGAAGGTGAGAAAAATAAAATGTGAAACAAGTTGCGGAGTGTCTAATGCATTCTGGCTGATATAGAGTCCAAAAGATGGATGCGGTTGCTGCTCCCATACATTATAATTTCCGACTCGGAAATCCTTGTCCAGGAAGAGCTGTGCTAAAGTTTTCATAAGGATGAGATCTTCCTCCAAAATGTGCATATAATTTCCTGAGGTGCAATACTTGGACTCTCTCTGATGTATGTTATTTGAATCCAGTATAAGTGTCCTTCAAATTCCATGTTTCAACGAGCTTTCCAGTTTGTGCAAATGATCTTGAAGTTGCTAATCTGCAGCATTCTATTGCGAGACATAAGAGAAGCTGTCCATGACCTTACCTAACTCCGGTTATTTTAACTCCATGAGCAGTTTGTCGTAGGTTTCACTTGTAGTCCTAATCTTAATAAATCCCCATCTAATGGTTTTTAAATGCCTAATTTGTGATTCCCATGCTATTAAAAGATGGAGTCTTCATCAATAGGATTTCATCTTGTCAGTTCTACGCTTTTTCACCTTCTTCAGATGAAATGTAGACAGGACTGCAATAGAATGTTGCAGATATGCATCTGAATGATCTTGTGGAATCTAAGGAGAATCTGAATATCGTTCATTTATTTAAGACTTAGTCAATCACGGTGTAAGTTTGTATTATAGTCTTGGAGCACAAGTTTAGAGACCGATGCAATACCCTGTAAGTCCCATGAATGGGTTAACTTCCCGCCTTTGACCAATGCATGTAATATTGATTCACAGCAGTCAGGCTCGCAACTTGTGGGATTCGAACATGTGATTTTAAATCCCTGGAATTGAATTTCCTAATCCTCCAACTAGTTACGCTTGACAACATAATAATTAAGTGTTTGCTTGTGCGTCTTTTTTTCGTGTAAGCATTTCATATATGTGAGACTTACGACAGCCAATACTTGTTGAAGAAAAACTAGAGGAGCGAACCAATAATGTAGTTAAAACATCCGCAAGTTGTCTCTATTAGTTTCAACGCAAGAAAACAATATCCAATGTAACACCGGCTCAAACTTATCCTCGTCCTCGCCACACATATCTCTTCTCCTTATGCCACTCTACAAGTTCAGAAAGCAAGAAAAACGTGAACTCATCCTCAATGGTGAGAAGTAACCCGCGCGCTGTATACCTTGTCGAATTAACTGCACGAGGTGAGACCACCTAATGAGCTAACAAAGTTTCTGATCGCCCTAAATGGGATTGCATGAATTTTCCAGCCTCCACGACGGTGTCTTCTTTTTCTCGTCCTGATTTGTTTGGATTTCTCACCGACGAAGCATAGAAAAATTTAATTGGGGGATTGATTAATAATCGTTAAAAGTAAGGCACAAGAACTTCTTCCCCAAGAAGGGTATTTTGTTTAATCCTGCAGTCGGCCCAGACAAACATGAAGCAACAAAAGTGAAATCAAAATGGCTAGTCCAATGAAGAGATCCATCGTACAAGTTCTTGTACGGCAACCAGCTGGTTCCGGCATCAAAAGAAAATCCTCCTTAGAAACATGGAATCTATCTGAAGCTGAAAAATCAACTTCTATAATGCTACTTACAAGGAAAAACTACAAAGATGAGCAACTAATTTTGGCTTTTATTTTCGCTGCTCCGATTACTGTCGATTCAATGGTCCGGCGAGACATCTTCAGTTGTGATATTCCTTTGTAAGTCTTTTCTTGCTTTCTATTTTCCTTTTTTCAAATTCACATGATGGTTAATCTTTCATGAAACTATTTCTTTTCTGTGAACCAAGGAACTACTCATATGTTGTTTAATCTTTGAAGAGTTTGAATACGATCATGGCATCGTCATACATATTCCTCTCCATTCATGTGCAGCGGTTATTGTCATAATTAGAATATCTTTGAGCATCGGCGCTTGTTCTAGGCGATCAACCCTCAAAAGTGGCACCAATCCGGTTGCCCCCACGTTCTCTATAATTGTGGTCGATAAGATTCTCGATGACATAGAGAAGCCCATACGGTTCTCTTCTCAACAGCTAAGAATGGCCACCAGTAATTTCTCGCATTTACTGGGTGCAGGCAGTTTCGGGGCAGTTTATAAAGGGACGTTCACGAACGGGCTGTTAGTGGCCGTCAAAGTACTAAACGGCAGCTCGGACAAGAAGATTGAAGATCAGTTCTTGGCCAAAGTGACCACCATTGGTAGAACACACCATATGAATCTAGTTCAGCTATATGGATTTTGCTTCGACAGGAGCTTGAGAGCCCTTGTATACGAATTTATGCACAATAGTTCTTTGGAGCGACTACTGTTCTGTGCAGGTAAAGATATAGAGTGGGAGGCTCTGTACAATATCGCGATCGGAACTGCCAAAGGGATCACCTATCTACATGAGGAGTGTCATCAGATAATAATCCATTACGACATAAAGCCAGAGAACATCCTCCTCGACCCGAATTATTGCCCGAAGGTAGCAGATTTCGGGCTAGCTAAGCTCTGTAACCGGGAAAAGACACACGTGACGATGAGTGGAGGGAGAGGGACCCCAGGATATGCCGCGCCGGAAATGTGGATGTCGTTCCCAGTCACCCAGAAGTGCGATGTGTACAGTTTCAGTATGCTCCTGTTCGAGATCCTTGGGCGCAGGAGGAACCTTGACGTGAATCTGCCCGACAGCCAGGTAATGCGTATAAAAGGTACGTATTTCCTGATAGCAAGTGTCTTGGCTTGTATCGTAAGAGGGAGCGGCGTCTAAACACGGGTGCCAATGACCAAAGAAAAAAAGATATCGATGTTTTCTTTTTAGCCGATTACTCTGGACAGATGCAACCGTTGTGGATCACTAAGAGCACAGGCATTCCATTATGATTGATGATCGATCGGCCAGTCAGTCTGACCAAACAGTTTCCAGTCTAAGAAGAAAGAGTAGCCACTCTGCTGAAAGAGGCCCCCAGTCATGAACTAAATTAGGCTTAAGAAAGGTCATAGAGGGGTGAGCTCAAGAGTGCATTATGCAATTTACGTTTCTTGGGTTGGGATCTAATTTCATTAAATCTAAGGCATCAAGTACACTCCCATCATCTTTAGACTTGATTTCTTGAGTTATTCATTGATATGCACCAGGAATGGTTTCCGAGATGGGTGTGGAAGAAGCACAAGATGAAGAGTTTCTCAGATGTGATGATCGCATGCGGGATCCAAAAGAATTGCAGAGAGAAGGCCGAACGGATGGCGATGGTCGCTCTGTGGTGCGTTCAGTACAAACCGGAGTCGAGGCCGAGGATGGGCGTTGCCCTGAAGATGCTGGAAGGTGGCATAGAAATCCCAATGCCCCCAAACCCGTTTCGCCACCTAATGGATTCTCCACCGCCGGACGTTCTAGCAGAAGTGGAAGGAAAAGCATGCAGCTTCCCACCACCGGCCATCAGAATGCTGGCCGAATCTTCTAATCCTGGCATGGCTCCTACAGTTTGATCAGATTCAGTTAAATGAAATTTCTTGATCAAGATTTATACATCTCGCGTGTCAAAAAGTGCAGAACTTCGAGTGATATGCAGCAATTTTTTGGTTTAAGACGTACATGACCACTTTTGTTTCGTTCTCTTTTGGGTTAATACCACAAAAAATTCCAAACTGGTACACATATGACAATTTTACTCCGAACTAATTTTTTAACCACGAAAAACCCCAAACTAGTACAACTGTAACAAATTTACCCCGAACTATTTTTTTGATCACCAAAAACTGCACACTGGTACACTTGTGACAATTTTACTCCGAACTAATTTTTTTACCACCAAAAATCCCAAACTGGTATACCTGTGACAATTTTACCCCAATCTAATTTTTTTACCACTAAAAATCCCAAAGTGATACATTTGTGACAAATTTACCATCCGTTAATGTCCATTAAATTGGATTAATATCACGAAAAATCACAAATTGGTAAACTTGTGACAAACAAAGGGATAAAACCCCAAACTGGTACACCCGTCAACTATCGCGTGTCATCAAACTTAGCAAATTGACAGTAAAATTTAACAGAAACTAACGGAGGATAAATTTATCACAGGTGTACCGGTTTGGGGTTTTTAGTGGTTAAAAAATTAATTAGGGGTAAAATTGTCATAGGTAACCAGTTTTGGATTTTTTATGGTAAAAAAATTAGTTCGAATTAAAATTATCACAAATGTACTAGTTTGGGGTTTTTTGTGGTCAAAAAAATAGTTTGGGGTAAATTTATCACAAATGTACCAGTTTGAGATTTTTTGTGATATTAACCCTTCTCTTTTTCATTCATAAGTTAAAGCTTTTGACAGTAAGCTCTTTTCTTTTCATCTCGTAGATAATGAAGATGGACAAGATTCCTTGCTTCTTAGGCATCATTTTTTCATGTGTAGTGCTATCTATGCTAAAGACAACTTCAGTTCAACACGGACAAAAGAAATGAACTGATTCTGCTGCTGAATCACCAGTCACTATAGTGACTTCAATCGACTGTCCACTGAAATTGTTCAGTCAGGACTCAGAACACGGCCTTGAATGCTCTTGGACAAAATGGTATTATGATCCTTAGACCAGACTATGACATTGAGGTGGACATCATGGAACCTTTGTCCGGAGGTATCGTACATTGCCCAATGTTGTGACGGCAAGGCGTTGACAGAAGCGGCTCGAGATTCATTTTCCGGGGGCAAATGATTCATAAGTCCGATAGGCAATTCTCAGGGGCACTACCTGATAACTTTCTTCAGGGATTCGCCACAGATGGTGAATGTAGTTACATGCATACAGTTCGACAGTGATTGAGCGCGATCGGCGTCATGACCAAAATCATGATCCATTTTCTTGTAGAATATGGATTACCACATCGTTTCGAAAGTTGGTCCACGGCAGATCGCCGGTCTCCCACCTAGGATGGCTTGCGATAATTGATCACCACCTCAATAATTTCAGGCAAAACTTAATCGGAATAACTACATTGGAATTTAATCATGTTTAGGACTACATTGGAACATGTTTACTAACTTGGTAATTTTTTTCTATCATTCTTTACTTTGCTTTCCAAGCCAATGTATGTAACCTAAAATAAAGATAAAGAAATTATAATCGTTAATCATGAATCCAACGTAACCATAAATGTTAATCATGCAAACATATACAAGAAATTCAATTAGCGGCTATTTTGCTGAAAAATAAAGGAAAAGATTTTCTATGAAAATTATTTTCAAGGAAAATGGTTAATTTTTATTTGTTTGATGGTTTAAGGAAAATAATTTTGTTCTTAATAGAAGGGAAAGTCTTTTTCTTTCAATCAAAACTTGTATTACTCACATCCGCCAAGTCCCCTGCTCCTAAATTCAAACAAGCCCTTCCTTCATCTTCCGCGTTCTTTCACTTGAACTTGCCACTACAATGTCAATCAGCAAAGCTTCCATCACTAAACCCCCTCTGGTGATCGGCAAAATAGGTCCCTTATGCTGTTTTCGACACCCCACCGCCAACCCGAAGCCGGTCATGCCAGTTCTTGATTCGCCGGTGAAAGTCTTCCCTCCGCCGGTTCAACCGCCTCCCCACCGCTTCGATAAGTCCATCGCTTCTCCATCTTCGCTTGACTATGGGTCTGTTCTGGGATTCTTCAAGAACCCGGCCACTAAGAAGTTGCCAAATGGTAAGAGTTTCTGCTTTAGCTTTTTCTGTACATTGCCTTTTCTAAATGGCGGCTTTCCTTAGTTTTCTTCTTTTGTTCCTGAATGAGGAAGAAGATCGGAAGTTTGAAGCTTTGATAGGAACAAACCATGTTTTTTTTTCTTTTGAGACAGTTCTGTCTTGTTATGGTAGATTGGTGCAACAGAGAATGTGGGCGTTTCTGTTCTCCTCATTTAATCGGTCGAGAAGAAACAAAATGGTTTCTTGATCTCCAGATTCTACATTCCGCATGTATAGGTGCACAGTTTCAAAGTTCAGCTTCCCAATGTACATGTTGTGTAATTTTAGCGGTGTTTCCTCATTTTTTTTGTCTTCCTTTTCTGCAAAATTTATAGGAATTCTGTTCTTGCTTAGTTTGGCAGCTCAATCAAGCTTGGATAGCCACATGGCCCGTTGGCTTGGGTTGGACCAGTCGAGGTATCAGTGGGCGTTGGAAAATTATTACGATAACCAAAGATCAGTAAGTTTTGCCAAGGTCTTACTTTTCTCTGTTTATATTGCCATTTGGATTTGCTATTCTGTGTTCTTTCAGCTTTGCCTTCACTCTTTCCCTTACTTTATGTCATGATTCTTCGAAAAGTAGCCTGCTTTGAGTGGTCTGCTTATAGAGGATGCTTATATAGTCATGAAGTATGATGAGGTTGCTCGGGGTTGTAATTTTGTGTAGGCAGCTTGTCAGGGGTACAAGTTTGGTGGCCTGTAGTTGAGTACTAGATCATTTTCACTAACTCTATTGCAGTTTTGCTGCATTTTCACTTTTCATTACATCAATTTGCTTTGGACTTCAGTACAGTAGCAGTTGCTGCAGTACGCGCATCGATTGGTTATTAAGTCGCTAAATGCTTGATGTAGACTATCGCCATGGCAGTGTTTGGTTGTTGATCAAATAAAGTATTGGAGAATTTGAGTTTGACTTGATTCTTGGAGCGCTCCATCTCAGCTCTGATCCACTGGGCCATTGCGATTTGCAGCAACTCATCAGTGAAAACCGGCAAAAGGACACTATAAGTGCCATAACTTGTGTACGGCGCTCACTTTGGTGCCATAACTTTTTTTCGGATCACTTTGACGTCAATTCGGAGGAAAAACGATCACTTAAGGCTCCGTTCGTTTGGCGAAAAATATTCTCCTTTTGGAAAATATTTTTCCGGAAGTCATTTTCCTGGAAAATGTTTTTCCGGAACATAATTTTCCGGTGTTCGGCGACCAATATGAAAAAGTTTCGGAAAATATTTTTCGCCGGCGGCGGCGTCCGGCGGCGGCGGCCGGCGCACCGGGCGGCGGCGACCGGCCGCGCTAAGCGCCGGCACTCGACGACGGGGCGGCGGCGACCGTGGCGACCGGCGGCGGCCGGCGACCGGCGGCGGCCGGCGACCGGTGGCGGCTGCTGCGACCGGCAGCAGCGGCGGCGGCCGGCGACCTTAGTGAAGAAGAAGCTCCGGAAAATGATTTCCACTTTTGAAGAAGCGGAAGTCATTTTCCGTAAACTTAGGCTATTTTGTGAGGGGGGAAGGAAAATATTTTCCCACGGAAAACGTTTTCCGCCCCCCGAACACCGGAAAATCCGGAAAATATTTTCCGGGAGAATATTTTCCGCCAAACGAACGGAGCCTAAGTGTCATAACTTTTTTTTGGATCACTTTAGTGCTAAAATTTTTGAAAAACGATCACTTAAGTGCTAAAAATTTTGAAAAACGAATTTTTGAAAAACGATCACTTAAGTGCCAATCTCTGGCGAGACTCCGGCGAGCCACGTCAGCTTCAGAAATTAATAAAAAAAATGCCACGTCAGATTTCCGGCGAAAAATTGTGTACGGCACTGGAGTTGGCACTTAAGTGATCGTTTTTCAAAAATTTTAGCACTTAAGTAATCGTTTTTCAAAAATTTTAGCACTAAAGTGATCCAAAAAAAAGTTATGGCACTAAAGTGAGCGCCGTACACAAGTTATGGCACTTGTAGTGTTCTTTTGCCGTGAAAACCAGAGAAAAAGTCATGAAGAAAATAGTTCTGTTGAAAAATTGACGAGAAATGGCCTAAAAATGCTAATCGAGTTGCAAAATTGATGCAACATGTGCAATAAGTTGAAGCTTAGTGACCCAAGTGAAAGTTACTCCAACATGCCGTGACCATTGAGTGTAACTTATCCCTGGTGATGATACTTGCATTTGCTATGTGTACTCATCGACTTCTGATCTGCAACTACTATTCCATTTTCACAGACTTATGATGCACACCCACTGCAGGGAAAGGAACGTGAGAAAATCAAAATGTCAAACAAGTTGCAGAGTGTCTAATGCATTCTGGTTGATATAGAGTCCGAAGGATGGATTCAGTTGTGGCTCTGATAAAGTATAATTTCCGATTCAGAGATCCTTCTCAAGCAGGAACTGTGCCAAAGTTATCATTAGGATTAGATCTTCCTCCAAAATGTACATAAGGTTTCCCGATGTGCAATACTTGGAATCTGGTAACACCCTGATGTATGTTATTGGAATCCCGCATGAATGTCTTTCGGGATTCATATTTTGACGAGCTTTCCAGTTTGTGCATTTGTCACTTTTGAATGATCTTGAAGCTGCAAATCTGCAGTATTCTATTGGTTTGGGTGGGCCATAAAAGAAGCCGTCCACGACCTTGCCAAGCTCTAGTTATTTTATTCAGAAAGCAATATGTGGCGGGGAGCATTTGCGGTCCTAATCTTAATCCCCCATCTTATGGTTTTTAAATGCCTGATTAATGACTACTATGCTATTAAAAAACAGAGTCTTCATCAATAGGATTTCAACTCCTTGGTTCTATGCTGTTGCCCCTTCTTCGGATGACAGGTAGATAAGACTGCAATAGAATGTTGCAGATTTTCATCTGAATGCTCCTGTGAAATCGAAAGAAAATATGAAGGATTTAGTCAATCCACGAATATAAGTATGTATTATGGTATTAATTGGTTCTCAGGTTTTCGTCGACTTTTGGATTGTGGTATTACTTGATGTGATATATCAGGTTTAACTGTACATATTCTTCAACTGAAGTTAGAGCAGGTAATGGTCTCTGATGCGTGTGTGGGCTGGGGAATATGTTTTGAGTGATTATGGGATTTATGATAGATGGATATGATCACTACCAAGTCATAAATGATGCGCCACCAGCCATAGATGAACTGGATAGATGAAGTTCACCATCAAGACATAAAGAAACACCGCCAGTCTAGGATTTCGGATATATGAAATTCACCACCAAGGCATAAGGATAAGAAAGATTTTGGGATAGGAGAAATTCTCCACCAAGATTTAAAGGAAACCCTCCGGCCAAGGATAAAAAACTTTTAGGTTCACTACCAAGGTAGGCACACAGCCACCAACCAAGGATAAAAAATCGAGATAGAAATTCGTTCACTTGATAAAAGTCTCATATATATTCATCAAATTCAATTAGTCTCCCTTACAAGAGTGATTCTATTAAACAAAAGAAAAGACTCTTGGAATCCTAGAAATTGAAATGACTTTTGAAGTATTCACATAATGTAGACTCTTGAAAGCAACGTCGAAATAAAGACTCTCCAGGCTATGAATTAAGACACTTAATAACTAGGGACTAAATGCATTTAATTAAAATTAGATACATTGAAACTTGACTTGATTTTCCAAATTCGCGCACCAGTTTTGGAAGCTAAGTAGTCGCCTTAGAAGATCAATAAATAATAATAGAATTCAATCATAACTGCCTCCGGTTATTTAGTAGTTGATTAGGGGCCTCGAAGTCGACAATTCTTGAAAATCGATAACTATATAGCATGAATAAGTTGTGGCCGAAGTTGGCTTTTGCTTGCATGATTAACGAATGGGTTGGTTCAATGGACGAAACACAAGTTGAGTTTGGGGGTTGATCAATCCTGCAGTCTCTTCATAGAGAAATCATATTCCCACTTCACTACATAAACTGTAATTGAGTTTTGACAGCAACGGATCCGCCTATATAATCCCATACATACACAATGTAAACCAACATTGCATTAGATGATTGCACAGAGGAGCTTCATGTGGTTGACTTGAACTCATCCTACATGGTAATTTTCTCTGTGAATTTCACTATTCTTCTGAGATCGCATAGTTCACAAATCAAGGAGGACCGCTATCTGAGTTTAGACAATTACTGAAAATTACCGCTCGCACACACCTTCGACTCTATTTGGCATTGTTTACTTAGCTGAAAATCCATGGCCGCAGCTGAAAATCCATTATAGGTAGGATTCGGGGCCTCGACAGGGTAAGGAATTATAGATTTACATCAGGATTCGCTAGGGAATTAAGCTCAGCCAAAAGCATGAAAAATGATATCTTGTGCCTCATCCTAGAACCACCATGGGAGACCCCGCTAATTCCTTGAACACATCGGCTGCCAAGGATATAACGAAGTTTCTGAGTCATTGCTCTATTTAGGATTACATGACTCATGCCGCGTCGATGACAGCGTCTTCTTTGTCTCGCCCTGATTTGTTTGGATTCTGGTTTGGTTATTATTCCTCCCTAAGGAAGCATAGAAAAATTCAATTGGGGCATTGACTTATGGTCTTCTAAGCATCGCTCATTATCGTTACAAGCAAGGCAATATGGTGGATGCAGAAACTTCATGCCCAATAAGGGCTTTGTTTATTCCAACAGTCAGCCCTAGACAAACATGAAGCAACAAAAGTGGAATTGGAAATGTGCTGGTAAAATGAAGAGAACCATCCGAAGAATATCCTCCTTAGTACTGTCGAAGAAAACATAGAATCTATCTGAAACTGAGATCAACCTCTATAAAGCTACTTACAAGGAAAAACAACAAGATGAGCATCTAATTCTGGCATTCGTCTTCGCTGCTTCGATTCCCATTTTGGTCGATTCAATGGTGTCTAGCGAAACATCTGCAATTGTGATATTCCTCTGTGAGTCTTTTCTTGCCTTTTAATTTCGTTGTTTCAAATCCATATGGTTAATCTTCCATGAAACTATTACTTCTCTGTTCTTGCAAGAAACTACTCATATGATGTTTAATCTTCCAAGGCTATTCGTGTTTAATACGATCATGTCATCGTATAACAAATTCCTCTATCATTCATGTGCAGCGGTTATTATCTTCATTAGAGTATCCTTGAGCATCAGCGCTTGTTTTAGGCGATCAACCCTCAGAAGGGGCACGAATTCGGTTGCCCCCACGTTCTCAACGATCGTGGTCGATAAGATTCTCGATGACATAGATAGGCCCATACGGTTCTCTTCTCAACAGCTAAGAATCGCCACCTGTAATTTCTCGCATTTACTGGGTGCAGGCAGTTTCGGGGCAGTTTATAAAGGGACATTCTTGAACGGGTTGTCAGTGGCCGTTAAAGTACTAAACGGCAGCTCGGACAAGAAGATTGAAGATCAATTCTTGGCCGAAGTAACCACCATTGGTAGAACACACCATATGAATCTTGTTCAGCTATATGGATTTTGCTTCGACAGAAACTTAAGAGCGCTTGTATACGAATTCATGCACAATAGTTCATTGGACCGACTACTGTTCAGCGCAGATAAAGATATAGAGTGGGAGGTTCTACACAATATCGCAATCGGAACTGCCAAAGGGATCACCTATCTACATGAGGAATGTCATCAGATAATAATCCATTATGACATAAAGCCAGAGAACATCCTCCTGGACGCAAACTTCTGCCCGAAGGTAGCTGATTTCGGGCTTGCTATGCTCTGTAACCGGGAAAAGACCCATGTGACGATGACCGGAGGGAGGGGTACCCCGGGATATGCCGCGCCGGAAATGTGGATGCCATTCCCCGTCACCCAGAAGTGCGACGTGTACAGCTTCGGTATGCTCCTGTTTGAGATCCTCGGGCGCAGGAGGAACCTTGACGTGAATCTTCCCGACAGCCAGGTGTTGTCTAAAACAGTTGTATCTCCTAATAGCAAGTGTCTAAGGCTGTCTCGTAAGAGGGAGCGGTGTCTATACACAGGTACCATTGATCAAAGAAAAAACAGATATCGAAGTTGTCGTTATAACTGATTGCTCTGGACAGATTTGAACTTTAAGGATGACAAAATGCGCAGGCATTCGATGATGATTGATGATCAATTGGCCAGTCGGTCTGTCCAAACAGTATAAAGTGAAGTGTTCCAGAGTCTAAAAGAAAGAGTAGCGACTCTGCTGAAAGAGGCCGAGTCATGGACTAAATTAGGCTTAAGAGAGGTCATAGAGGGGTCAGATCAAGAGTGGGATTATGCAATTATCAGTTTCTTGGGTTGGGATCTAATTTCATTAAATCGCATTAGCTACATTTTACCACGTTTAGACTTACATTCTTGAGTTTTTCCTTGATACCGATGCACCAGGAATGGTTTCCGAGATGGGTGTGGAAGAAGCACGGGAAGAGGAGGTTCTCGGACGTGATGATTGCATGCGGGATCCAAGAGAATTGCAGAGAGAAGGCCGAGAGGATGGCGATGGTCGCTCTGTGGTGCGTTCAGTGCCAACCGGAGTCGAGGCCGAGCATGAGCTTCGCCCTAAAGATGCTGGAAGGCAGCGTAGAAATCCCAATGCCCCGCAACCCGTTTCGCCACCTAATGGAATCTCCGCTGCCGGAGGTTCTAGCAGAAGTAAAAGGAGAAGCATGCAGCTTCCCGCCACCGGCCATCAGAATGCCGGCCGAATCTTCTAATCCTGGCATCGTTCCTACAATTTGATAGGATTCATTTAAATGAAATTTCTTGATCAGGATATCATAACTTCGAGTGATGAGCAGCAATTTTTTGGTTTAAGACGTACAGGATCCCTTTTGTTTCATTCTTTTGATCCATTTTTTCATGCACAAGTTTAAAGCTTCTGCCAGTATTCTCGAAGTTCTTTTCTTTTGATCTTGTAAATATTGAAGATGGTAATAAGATTTCTTGCTTCTGGCTTCAGTTTTTCATGTGAATGAAGATTGTGAGAAGGACTTAATGACTTTAAATGCCAAAAGTCTTAAGTTTTACCATTAATAAAATTTTTAGTATTCAATGTGCAGGTGGGGGCTATTTTCACATCCTATATGACTAAATTCAGTCCATTTTATTTTTTCATTTTGTGTTCCCTCAATTTTGAACTTACTGTTATATAAAAGTTACAAATTAACCTCTTTTTATCGCAACTTATCCATTCTTCATCACTAGTACCATCACTACTACCTTTTTTTTTCTTTCTTTTTGTCAAATCACTACTACCTCAAAGGCTCACTTTTTTATGGTGATTTGTTATTTGACTTGTCTTCAAGCAAAAAAACATCAGGTTTTTTTTTTATTTACTATATCAAAAAGTGGGTAATCCGTAATCTTTTTCTGCCATCAATGAGACACTTTCAAATAGGGCATGTTACTATCGGCGTATCTAGATATACACCAATAACAATAAAATTAAAAAGGGATGAACATTGAGGCACTTTGATATTTGTCAACACTCCATGAGTCAACTAATTTTTTTTCAATTCATAGTAGGGATAATGATGCAAACAGTCCCTGAATTTTGATCCAATGTGCAATTTGATCCATGAACTTTTAATTTATTCAATATAGTCCATAAACTTTAGGCTAATGTTCAATTTGGTCCATGAACTTTATCTGTTCAATGTGGTCCCTGGACTTTTAGTACATGTTCAATTTAATCTCTAAATTATATGAAAATATTCAATGTAGTCCCTTAACTTGAATTAATGGAATAACTACATTGAACATTTTCAAATAGTTCAGGGACTAAATTAAACATATACTAAAAGTTTAGGGACCACATTGAACAAATTAAAAGTTCAGGGACCAAATTGAACATTAGGCTAAAGTTCATGGACTATATTGAACAAATTAAAAGTTCAGGGATCAAATTGCATATTGAGTCAAAGTTCAGGGACTGTTTGTGTCATTTTCCCTTCAAAGTAAATAAAATCTAATGTCTGTTTTAAATTCTTTTTTTTTATTCTATGCAAAGTGTTGATTTAATCAAATTTTGTTGTTTGATGGGAATGTAGTTACAATTTTATTTTTGCAATTTTTTTTGTCAATGAGGTGTATTCCTAAATTTTTGGAGCTTCTCTACGATGAGCTTGACGAGCCTCAAAGAGGGCTTCTATTCCATTTCATTTAGTCATCCCATTATGTTCAATAAAAGACAATAGATAAAAAAGAGTTTGATTGTGATATAAATATACATTAAATATAAAAATTTTACAAATGTTGGATTTTGTTAATCCTACTTGACAATTCAATTTATAAATTAATCGGCAACATGGAAAAGAGCTAAGTTTCGTCTAAATTTCTCATTTTGAAAAGCTAATGTATTCAGAGGTAAAATTTTAAAATTAAAAACAAAAAAGGCATAGTAATACCCACTTAGAAATTAATAAAAGAAGAAGCAAAAATCATGTAATATTCTTACCATGACGAGAAGATTTAAGGAGTGTGCATTGATTCGATCCAACCTAGTAACCAAACCGAATTAATCGGTTATGGATGGATCTTGGGAGATTGGCCCCGTTCCCGATTCCAAATTTGAGAATTATCGGTCCGGTTCCCGATTTCACTTAAGGAACTGAAGCGGGCCGATAAACCGACCCAAATTTCTTAATTTTTTATTTTAAAGCAAAGCAAACCCTAATTTCTAAGTTCGGTTTCAATTCTCATTCCCTCTCTCTCCTTCGCTTCTATCTATCTCGGTCTCATCTCGCGCGCCTTAACGCTCGCTCTCTATCTCAGTCCCCTCCTCCCTCTCTCGCGCAGCCTGCCGGCCACCGCCCCCACCGCCGCGGTCTCGCCGGCTGGACGCCGTCCACCGCCGTAGGCGCAGCGCTCGAGTTCCGTCTCCATTGCGCTCTCTCTCTCTCTCTCTCTTCATTCGGTCGCTGACTCGCTTTTGCCTTTGCGTCTCTCTCGCCCAACCGCCGCCGCGGTCTTGCGTCTCGCCGCCGTCCGGTCGCCGTCCGCCGCCCCAGCTTCGCGCTCTCGAGGTGCTGCTCCCGTTTCGCCTCGAATTTCTTTGTGGGTTTGCCTCCTTTGATTTCGCCGCGCTGCACCTGCTCTCGTTCTTAGGTCTGGGTTACAAGACCGTCCATTCTTATTTGTGCGAATTTGCTTCCTCTTGGCCGTCATCCTCTATTGATTGCTGTTGTGTTTTCTAGATTTTTTTGGGTTTTGTTTGGTAGCCGGTGGGGATCTTTCGGCTTCCTTCTTGTGCTCGCCTTGAAAGTGTAGGGGTATGGTATGATGGTCACCGGTTCCGGGACCGACCCTGCAACCGGACTGGTCGGGCCAGTCCGGTCCGGTTCCAGGACCAGGTGGGCTGTTTCCGTGTTCCACAGGGCGGGAACCGACCCTACCCAGTCCGGTTCCAGGTTCGTCCCACCCTGGAACCGATCACCCCTGTTATTTCCTACATAGAAATAAAAAGACTAAAAAGAAGAAGTAAAGTGAATTGGGATCCATAACTTTAAATTTCAATTGGATGATTATGTGCAATTTGTTTCTTTAATGAAACTAGAGTGTATTTAGTTTGTATGTGGTGGAAATAGCCTCACCCCATTTTCATCCTGCAATCAAGTAGACCTAACAATGGGTCTGGACAGCCCACTTGAAACTAACAGAGGGTGGTGGGGAGGATTGTATCAATTGAACCAGTGCGTAATGGTAAAGGTGGTCGAAGGGGTTTTTTTCGTCGTGAAGTTGCGATGGATGTACAAGTGCCTATATTTGAAGGAATGTGCGTGCGGAAAGAATTTGAGAAATATTGGGTTGACATTCGCGATGAACGAATTCCTGATTTCCGTTTTACTTGTGGAGTAATTGGGCATGTTGAGAAATCTTGCGATTCTGCAGTAAAGAAGTCTGAATTGATGCTGATAAACCCAAGTGGTCCCCGGTTGCGAGTTCCTTCTTCCAAGTGCTGAAATGGGTTGGTGCGTTTGTATTAGATTGCAGAAGTATCACTTGTGTATGAGTAAAAAGGGTTGTTGTGTTTGTAGTTCTCAAGTCCTGAAATGCTTAACTGCCATCTTACTTGTGTGCTTAATTCCTTAATGCCTGAGATTTGTAGAGACTTTTCTTCCATCACATACGCATAAACAACATCCATTACATCGAATCTTTACCTCATTACATTTCAATGCAAAGTAGATTTGTTATGTGCTTGAACTTCAAATCTTGATACCAGGTAGTGCTAGGGGTAGTTGGGTCTGCTTTCCCTGCCTGTGTACAGAGGCTTGCTGTGCAGATGATATGGTTTTAACAAGTGTTCGTTTGCAAGTTGTATAATTATGTATTGTGGTTCCTGGAAAAAAGAAAGAGAGGATTAAATTTGTTGTATAATTAGCAACATATGTTGTGATTCCTGGGAAAAAAAAGAGGATTTTTAGTCTGATCCGCGTAAATCCTCAGGAATGCGCAGTCTGGTTCTTGCCCTTGTTTCCTTCTGTGTTTTGCATTTGAGTCAGTAATAATAAGAGCTGTGGTTGATCAACTGCTTTAAAGAAGACCTTTCTTTTCTTTCTGTTGCTGGTTATGGTTATGGTCTCAGTTTTTTTTTTTTGGTCGAAAATAATTGGTCTCAATTTGAAGGTTTGAGATTTTGAGGATTGGGGTTTATATTGCAACAATGATTGCCTGCCCCTATTACCAGCTGGTTCTTTGATTCTTCTTCTCGCATTTAATTTTCTATGAGAATCATTCTGTATCAGTACTGTTTTGTTTCCATTCTTTTGCTGCAAACCCAAATCCACAAGAATTGTATGATGAACAACTATTATTGATAATTTATTTTGGAAAGAAAGATCTCCTGAACATATTCTCATGTTCTTTTGGTTTTGTTTGATAGTAGATAAATCAGTAATAACGTGCAAGACCACAGTGAGGAAAAGAACCTCAGGCTAAAGTAATCAATTGTAGACATGAATATATCTGTCTAAAAATCGTGGTACTGGTTGCTAAGCTGATTATTTTACATACATTCAGGTGCAGATATAGTTGTGCCAATGCCAAAAAAGAGTTCTTTAAAAGCCCCTGATCAAGGGCCAGAAATGCCAGTTGTGAAGGAGGAGAAAGCTTCTCCAGCTACGAAGAAATCCAATGATGAGATCGATGACATTTTTGCATCAAAAAAGAGGAAGAAAAGTGAAAAAGCAGATGCCGAGAAGCCAGCTGAAAATGGCAGTGGGAAAACGAAGAAGATGAAGAAAAAGAAAAAGGTTAAAGGGTTAACAGAGAGTGCATTAGGCGACGCACCTTCTCGTCCTAGAAAGAAAACAGCGGATGGGCTCACCATCTACACAGAGGACGAGTTGGGTATCAGCAAGGCAGATGCTGGTGGCACGCCGCTCTGTCCATTTGACTGTTCTTGCTGCTTTTGAGTATTGGAGATCATCCGGTTGTTCTTGTTGTAACTTATTAGCAAGTTTTGGCTATTCACCTCAAAGGTTCTTTGTGTTTTGGTGCCTCTGTTTCCTAATTGCATGTCTTTAATCTTATTCTTACAGTTTTGGCAGTTTTAGTAGATAACCAAAATATTTCAGGATCATGATAAGATATTGTAGCTAAGAGTTCTTGGGGTGGGTAGGAAAGATGTTGGTATTTAAGAAGTTGATAATTTGTATTTAGTCATTTAAGATCACAAACTCATTAGTACAGCGACATGCATCCTCTTTTTGGCTCATTTATTGGACACACAGCTACAAGATGAGACGTATGGCATGAACTCATTAGTATTTACTAGCAATATGATAATATGGAGTTCATGAGCTTTTTGTGCTGTGGATGTAAGTTGAAATGCGTATTCGTGTTTCCAATCATTTGGCAGCTTCTTGTATTAGGATTAAACTCGGCCCCAGCAAGAACTGCTTCGTTTAATATGCATGACTCTGGAGAAAAGCAAAGCCTGGTCTGTGTTTTGTTTGTTTGATTTAAGCTTACTTTCTGTTTAAATTGTTGTTCTTGATGGTGTCACGCCTGGTGGGATGTTTGCTGTTGGGGTCTGCCGCCTTCGTTTCCGTGGACGGAGGATCGGTGTTGGCAATGACGCAGAAGGGCATGTCCTCGTTGCTTATGAGCAAACAGGTTTGGAATGATGGCGAGATGGAGCAGAGGCAAATCTCCCTCCACTCCCTCTAGAATCAATTTCTCACCGTAAACGCAACAAATTGATAGCTCTTAATTAGATCTGTCGAATGGGTGGGTCAAGTCGAAAATGGGTCAGACACTAACCCATTTTAATCTAATTCAAATTTAGCGATTTATACCCAACCTAACTCGAATTGAAGCCGTATCTAATCCAACCCATTCATGCTTGCCTGGGCAATTTGGAAGTCAAAGCTTTGTTTTGTGACTGGAGCACCTCATTCATCGAAGCAATTCGATGCAGGAGATGGGCGATTCTCTGCAGACGAGAATACGATCGAAGATTCAAAATAACATCCCACCATAAAATTGCAAAATTTATATACACTTGGCTAATCACATAGAATGAATGAGACATGTCAATTCAAAGAATTACTCAAATTTTATTCGGCTTTTGGACCCGTCATATCAAGCTATGTACTCAAGTTGTTTCGCTTATCATAATAATGTCTTCGGGGAGAAATAGATTTGGGCGATACCAAGGAACATAGAATTGTTTCGCTATATCAAAACTTGGCCCACAATGATCCAAGCCATACGAGCATTTAAAGCCAGATCTCTTTTAGGCATTTTAACAAACAATTTATATGCAACCAAACTAATTTCATCTCGCTCTTTAACTATGCGCATCAAACGATCCACTCTCTCTGTGCCTCAGCCACAACAAATATAATTGTGCGTACAATCACCACGGCACCATCGCCGCCGAAGTGACAAGCGACTAGGACAATGCTCCCCTTGCGGAGCCACAACCAGCGAAGAAACTCATAGCACCAAAAACCTTCGAACCCATTACCCTAAACCTGAATCCTGGCAAGCCCGTGGCTCGACCTGGTTCTTGTACAACCACCGCAACTGACGGTTGCGGTTCCTCTTGGAGCTCCTCATCAACATCGAACTGCTATAATGAAGACGAACACGAAGAAAAAGGGGATGATGACGATAACGTAGTGAGGATTGCAATGGGGAGGAGAGCAAATCGGAGGATGGAGGCAAAATTGGAGACGTGCTTTGCTGTTCTTAGCAGGGCCCGGAAGGCACAAGCAAATATATTACATGGGTTGAAAGCAAGTTCTTTTCAGACCCATTGGAACCCATTGTTAGTTGAGTTTTGCCCTATCAAACACATTCTAACCCATACGTTAAATTGTCAATAACCCATATAGCACACAAACCATTAAATATGAGTTAAAATATGATTTTTTGACCCATTTTGTCATCTAAACTCTCAATAGATTGATGTGAGAACTGAGTGTCGATATGATTACAATGGTCGGGAATTGTTTCTTATGAGTATATAATCTGATTGAATCCTTACATATGAGTGCAAGTAGTTCATTCTAATTTTCTCAAAGATTATTCTGAAGATACAGGAACTTTCATTGACAAACTCCATTTTCCTCTTTTCTCGGTCTAGAAAGAGCAAAGTCTCTTTAATCAACACAGAACAATTTCCAAAACTATCTTGAGAAAGTCATCAGTATCTATAAAAGTTCGATCGAATCCCCAGCCTACTCACCAAGAATACTACTCTAGATCCATCCAAGAGCATCTGTGTGCATGGGATCAGAGGAGCAATCATCTGGCGTTCTGTAGTAGTCTGATATCAGCAATGCAATATAATACTTGATAGAAAAACATAACCTTTCGGTACAACTACAATATATTCATGATTTACCAGAAATGAAATAAGAACAAGTTATGAAAATCTTTATCCCAAGGAGATTAAGAACAAGTTAGCTCTATTTCATTTTCTACGGTTTGCTTCACAGGCTTGGAGTAGCGACCTTCGGAGTACACGGTCCTCAAAGGAGACGACTCTGAGTCCCATTCGCTTCCATTTTCCGATAACTGATAAGGCTTACTTGGATCGAGATACTCAAACGGATATTCGGGCTTCGGAATTTCCATGTCTCCATCCAACATCTTCACCACAGTGCTCATCGCTGGCCTTGCCTCCGGCTTATACTGAATGCACAACAAAGCCGCCTTCAACATTCTCAACGCCTTCTCTCTTTCACTCTCGGGAACCCCACAAAGAGAGACCATCACCAACAACTCGCCATTCTGTAGCATGTCCCACGTCCACCGTGGAAGCCACTGTGTAGACTCGCTCAGGTTCGGGTCGTGATTTCTCCTCCTCCCCACGATCTCGAACAGAAGCATCCCAAAGCTGTACACGTCGCACTTGTAGGTCACAGGATACGGCTGCCACATCTCAGGCGCCACGTACCCGGGGGTTCCGCGAAACCCCGTCATGAGGATCCGACTGCTTTCCCTGTTGTGGAGCTTGGCAAGCCCAAAGTCCGCGACCTTTGGGTTCAAGTTCCGGTCCAGGAGGATGTTCCCGGGCTTTATGTCGTAGTGGACGATCCTCTGCTCACATTCCTCGTGCAAGTAGGCGATCCCCTTGGCGGTCCCCACCGCAATCTCGTGCATCTTGCACCAATCGATCGCCGTCTTGTCCCCGAACAAGAACCCGTCAAGGGACCCATTTTCCATGTACTCATAGACGAGCGCCCTCGTTGTCGGATCGAAGCAAAAGCCGTAGAGCCTGACAAGGTTTATGTGGTGGGTTCTTCCAATGGAGCTCACCTCTGCCATGAACTGCTCCTCGATCCTCTTGTCGCGGGCGTTCGTGAGCACTTTGACGGCCACCAGAGTTCCGTTCGGCAACTCACCTTTAAAGACAACTCCATAAGCTCCGGAACCGAGCAAGGTGGCGTAATCTCTGGTGTAAACAGCCAGCTGCTCCGAAGAAAACCTGGTGGGCTTCAGGAATCTCTCCAAGGTACCAAACTCATCGGGCACTTCCCAATTGTGTCCTGGTGAGACAGCTGGTGGGGCGACGGATATTACCCCGGATGGCGAAGATTGAACAACCTGTGGAAATTTTTCCAAGTCATTAGTAACTATCCTGGCATAGCTTGGGATCGCGGTTCCCGCTTTCTTCAAGCAATCAATGAGGAAGTACACGACGGCGACGGTTGCTGCAGTCCCCACCACACCGGTAACTGAAAACAGGGTGCAGTGATAGCATCGTTAAAAGTTTCTATCATAATATCAAATTACGAACTTCATTACAACAGGTTCACATTCCGACTTACTAATTGCAGCAGCTAAGAACCGATCCATCGTCGAGTTGACTGAATCATTGAAAGTCTCGAAATCACTTGGCGGGTTTTGATTGAACTTGTTGAAATCATATTGGAAGGAGCTCATCTCTTCTAAGCGGGAATCGAATCGGATCGAATCTTGTTCTGGGATCAAGAACTTCTCTCGTTGAGAGCCTGCTAATTAAGACAGTCGTTGTGCCTCCAGTTTTGGTTCCGTTAAGTACAAGTATCCGCAGAGAAGTCTTGTCTGTTGTTGTCCAGTATTTGACTTTTTCTCGAGTCATGGCATTTGGGTCATGCGTTGTTTAAGCTCAACGCGGTTTTGCTAATGGGAGTTCATCTTCGAGGGAGTTTCGCAGAAGGGCGAACTGAAACTGACGTGCTTCGGTCAACAGCTTGGACTTTGGACCTGTTCAAAGAGAAGATCATGTTGCATTTTGGTATCAAGACGGATGTGTGGACACGCAGCAATCGCCTGAAGATTACGATTACTCGTGAGAACAAAAGGTCAAAATAAGGATCATATATATACAACACGGCATATTAACCCGAGACAAATTCAACGTAACCTTCAAACGCATAAAAAAAGGCACAGCTTTAGACAACTGTGACAAATTCGACACAAACTTTTAAATGTACAAAAAGTATGTGCAATCTTTCCACTGTGACAAAAATAGCATCCTTAAATATCCCATCCATTCTTGCCGTAGTTAGCTTGTCCACGTGTCAGCTCATGTGACCCTCACTGTATTGACAACTAATAAAACAGTTAGTACCAGCGCATTCTCAATTGCGCAAATATAGTCTATTTTCATCTTAATATCGATTTCTTGGTCTCTTATCAACACCGAAATAGTGATTGTCTATTTTATCTACTTTGTAATCAAGTATGCAACTCAATGATCGACGAAATTCACGAAAAATTATTTTCAAGATTATGGTTAATTTCGTGAAAAATGAAAGAAGTAGGATTTTGCGCCAAGCTAATACCATCGACAAGATTAGATCTTGATTGAACATTTTTCAAAACAGTTTAGAACTCAATTGACCAAAATTTAGTATTTAAGACTCTCATAGCAAAGAAAAGCCGTTTAGGACTTCGATGGAGTTAACCATTCCTT